TGAATGACCAAGGAAATGGAAGATCAATAAAAAATTGTGACGAGATGCTTTTCAACCATAAACGGGTGAAGAATTGGGATAATGTACCCTTGCTTTGAAAGTTGGCATTCAGTCAACTCATTTATTCAACAGTTTGAGGACCCAAAATCACCACTTCAAATTTTTGTTTTTATTCCAACACCTTTTCCAAAAAAAAGTGGTGGTTTTTATCAATGGAAAAGTCACGAAGTCAAAATCGTTTGGTTTCCCTCGTGGATTCAACTCGGAGGTTTGTTTTTATTTGGGTGTTATATTAGTTGCATATAAGCTCTGTTATTATGCCTTAGGTGTTGAGGGTTTATTAATTTTTTGGTCCGGTTATCTTGGTTATAATTCCGCCGATGCAAAAATCGCCTTAAAAAATTAGGATGTGCGGATTTAACAAGAAATTGCTCTGGGTTTTAAAGATCTTTTGGCATGCATGTTAGTGTTTGCTTCTGCGAAGTTGCCCATCGACTCCATTGCTGTCGAAGGTGTTCCAAGCGCCCGAAGCACTCATCAAGGCGCCCTGAGAACGTAGGCCTCGAAAACGTGGGATAATGACGTGCTCATCCACAATAATGCTGACGGCATGAGGTTTATTCTTCCTGCGGTATGGAATGTATACGCATGGATAGTTGGCCAACAATTCTCTTCTTTTGCTTTTTTTCTTTCTTTGTAAATTTTCGATTCTTGATTACGGAATGATCATATTTTCTGTTTGCTCTCTACCTCATAGTGAAAATGATGATGATGATACCCGTATTTCGGCGGCTGATGGAACTGCGTCGTGGGCGAGATTGTTTTCCTTTGACTGCTCTGGTCTTTTTTTTTTTTATATCCCTCACTTTATTTCTCGTTGTTGGACCAACAAAAGTCGACGGGGGGTCTAAAAATATTTCCCTCTGTTGCTATGGGCCGGGTTAAATATCCTGTGCTGTTTTGGCCCGTGTTCGAGGCCTAGAGAACATAAATATTCCTTCCTCGATTTTTCTGTAATCCATGCTTTCCGCGTCCAGGTTTTTTCATCGGAAAAAGGAGGAGAATTCGATGTTTGAAATGCTACAAGGTGAAGGACAAATGTGGAGTGATCACGAGTTGAACTGGTTTGATGCACTTGTTTTGCTACGGACTCAGTACACAGTACAGTACTTCTGCGTCGAATATCCGCTTCAAATACGGACATGATAACGTTTGTCCTTAAATTCTTTCCCGACCACATTTTTCTGCGTCAGCAATTGTTAGGGATCAGAGTCTGTCAAAACCAGTGGCACGTGAGAAATCGTTCAGACAGACGTGTAAAATATTCGTTTCCAAGGACCCGTGCGCCAGTTGGCATCATAACAGTCAGGGGTTTGCAGTTCAGACAGAAAATTGTTGTTCTCTTGTTTGGGAAATCATAATTTTATTCAAGATCGGTTTCACTGCGTAATTCATTATTATAATTTCATTTGCATCAATGAAGTCCAAGGCTTTAAGTTTATACGATGCCTAAATGCGTGTTAAATGGGTTTAGATTGAGGATGTGTGTTGATGCTGCTGTAGTCACTTTAAACATATTATTATCAACATTAATGGTGAGTGATTACTCACAGAATGCTGGAATTTCATTTGTAGGTTATGGAATACGGTAGTTAAACAATCTTTGAAAAAATTAATTTTTTATTGTCTCCCCCCAATTTGTTTTGAGATGAGTTGAGTGCCAACTACCTTGAGATTAAATTGTATTTTCATCTAAATCTACTACGGCTTTGCGATTCAGGCTCCAAAATTCAAATCACTTTTTTTTTATTTGAGTTAAATGATGTAAACAGGAAGCATACGCCGTGAAGGAAAATTGTCAAAATTCGCACATTTTTTCTGTGTGAGGGCTTAGAACTTCAGGCTACAAAATTCAAATCAGGTTTTGAATTTGAGTTAAATGCTGTTGCCAGGATGCCTACGCTGTAAAGGAAAATTGTCCGAACTGCCAGTACTTGAAAACGTAACTCTTTTAACTGATTGAAATTGAAAACGTGTCCTTCCGGAAATTGGATTCAGGCAGCGGTATGGAATGCAAATTTTCTCTGGATCACGAATCATGTTTTTAAAAAATTGAAAAAATCTGATGTCGACGAAAATAACCACGTTGTGAAAATTGAGTGACTCATGCGCCAGAAGTCGGTTGGGTTGATGTCATTATTCTCAGCGACGAATTATCCTCAAGCCACCGAAAAGAAAACCCATCAACTGGGAATTTTTTATGACATTGAAAATTTTCAAATTTGATTTAGCAGAATAAAAATTTTACCGATTAAGTTCGCAAACAATATTACTAAAAATATTTCCGGGCCTCAAGGTTCGTAGGCTGAGAATGTGTTTAAAGGATGTCGAAGAAGAATTGCAGCCTCGCCTTTCAATGCGAGGTTTCCTCGTGGGCGTCGTTTTCTTTTCCCTTGCTCTATGGAGAAATTTTAGCCATCCCGTGATGCGATTGGTATGAGAGATGTTCTTTGAAATATTACTCCAAATAATAAAAGGAAAAAAAAAGAAACGCTGTTTCGGACTCTTGATACCATCGCGTTCACGTCGGACATTGATTCATCTCCTTTTTCCGTGCGATCGCTTCAACCTGTTGGCGCCTTGATGATGGGCCGTGGCCGTCATATACAGGGGCGTCGAATAGACGCCCTCTACATTTTCAGAAATTTCCTCGAGATCTGCAGAATTTAAAGTCCTGGATGTTTTAGTTTTTTATAATTTTAGCAGCGTTCTCTGCTTCTGCGGAAATCATTATGTTGTTGAAGTTCGAGGAACATCTATCCGATCGCGTGCATTCGAAACCTGTTCAATTTATTCGCGTGGCGTCTGGCGTGTGACCTCGATTGAATTTAACTCTCGAAACATTTGGCTCAAGAAATCATGCATAAAATTTATGTGGCATAGTTGAGCTTAATATTGTCGAAAGTTTTGCAACGGAATCATGACGCTATCTTTCATAGCACAAAAACCGTATAGATGTGGATGAAAAATAAATAAATAAATAAATTTCCAGACCTACCTGTTGGGCGTGGAACATGAAGCACGAAAGCGTGTGTTTAATCGTCATGTAGACGTCGTTTGAGCTTGATCGAGTTGTGGCCATGATCTGCCATTGAGCCCCGTTTTCCGATTAGTTGATCACCCATTTGAGTCTCACCCAGCAACCCCGGGAGGTCTCGAGGAAATGGCCTTTTCTTGAGGTCAATAAGTATACAAAGTAGCATGTACGAGAGCATCGTTCAACTAGTGGTTATGCATTGGCTGTTGTATTTTTACGTGAAACCAGAAAAAAAACAAAGTGCATCGATTTGGAATTTTTTTTTTCAATGTCTGTTCATGGCTTCAAAAGATTCTTGTTGCGCTAAAGCATTTCTTGTACAAAATCCAGGTCAATTTTTTATAGTCAGCAATGTCGAATAATTCTCAGTGAGGATCAGTATTTTTCATGAAATGACTGCTGAGAATATTGTAATTAAAAAACTCAAGCATGGATTTTATATAGCAGGACACCGGTTCAAAGATTGCTGACTTTTTTATGGCTTTTGTTGCTCTGCGTTGTGTCAGCAAAAAATTGGGTGGAAACCCATTTTCTAGGTCAGAAGACGAATTCAAAATAACTTTTTTCCTGACCTAATTCCCCTAAAGATTGCCAAGTACCTAAGTTCTCTCTCAATTTTTAGAGATGTTTCGAAAATTTTGTCACTACTGTACTTCGAAATAGATTTCGTTGGGTGCACAATTTTCTGGGGTAGAATCCTGTGAATGAATGCTGAGAAGAAATGGCACGTCGGTATTTATTTGCTCAGAACATTCTTGCCCTTTTTTTCAACTTTCAGTTCACCAAATTAAAGCCGACGGCAAACGTTGCTGTCAAAATCGCAATGACAAGAATTCAAAAAAATCGCTTATTAAAGAAAATTGATTCCGATTCTGAATACTTGATGTTACGTGAAACAGTTGTTAGGGCTAAGATCAACCTGCGAATTCATGAATAAATGTAAAATTGACAGGTGTATTTTGCGTCGTAGGACTGATGACATGCTTTTCAACTCGTCATCTTTTCGCCATTTCGCAACATGGAGGAAAACAATTTAACTTCTATCAAGATACAATTACTTGTATTAATTTAAAGTTAATCTCCAAGCATCCAACAGATCTCGAGGACAGAAACTTCGCGATGTACATGAATTACAGCATAAAACACTTTCCACGAAAAACCAGACAACGCAGTTCGCTCTTTGCTAAAGTCTGATACTTGATTCGCTGAGTGAAACGAGACTCCGGAGTACTGCTTTTTTGTTGTTGTTTCCAGATGACGAGTCACAACATCTGGGATTTTAAATGGCAAGATTACCTCCGAACTAGGACCAGAAGCCTCAACTCATGACTACCTGATTAATTCATAAGCGAAATAAAACNTTTTCCGGGACTGAAATCGGAAGAATAGATCTTAATTGGTTTTGAATTATATCATGGCCATCACTGTAGAGATTTACGACTTTTTTATTCATTGAAATGAATGGTGCCTTCATGGCAGTCGTTTTCTTAAATCAAATTTATCGGTTCGTTAACAGAATTGAGTCTTCAAAGAAAAAAAAATTTCCTTAATTTTTCGCTGTCTATTCACTCATGTTTGTGCAGCTTTCGTACTGCCATGCTCTTCCGAAATGGCTGTGGTAAGGACTTTTCTAAATTTTAAAATTAATTCACTGTACAACGAAGACAATGTCGAAGCAAAGAGGGGTGTGAACATTGACGCTCCCAAGATGAGCCAACTCGATCAATTTAGAGACAATGAGGATCGGCTGAATGCTCAATCATATCTTTTAACCTTTTCAGAAAACGAACGACTCAAATCAAATCAAATTGTTTCTAAAAAAAATTATTCTTGGATGACCTTTCTGGATTCAATTGAATCAGAATTTAATCGTTGGTTCGACGTCTTCAATTTCAGGGTTAGAATGCCAGCGAATCGAGAGCCCGACAGCGTGAATTCCCCGTCGTTCAACGACTCCCAGAGTTTTCAAGAAAGCGGAATTTTCGACGGCAGCTGTTCCATCAGCGATGCCGTGAGCGAGTCCACGCAGACCGACGATGCTGACGTGTCTGACGACTGCCCAAAGGTCGACGACGTTGACACCAAGACCCAGCAGAAACGCAAAAAGATGAAGATGATGTCCAAGCCGAAACCCGTGGCTGTTTTCAAAGACGAATCGTCGTCATCCTGCGTAGACTCGCATTCTTCATCCGGCGCGAATGATGACGAGGATGACGAAGAATGCGGGGTTCGCGTGTCCGTTGTCAAGAGACTGGAGTCGGAAAAGGCGAGGCTGGCTGAAGAGGCTGAGAGCTGGAAATCGCGTGCGGAAACCCTTGCGAGAGACGTTGAGGTTTTGTCTCAGAAATTGAGGAATTTGGAATTTGCCGAGAAATCTGCCAGGCAGCAGATCAAAGCGTGAGTGTTTTACCTTCATTATTACCTCGAGAAAATCCCTCCGCGCTCAATTCATTCCACGGGATGATGTGGGCCGCATACAAAAAAAAA